TTTACTACTACTACTAACTGTTTTAGCTTCGATGCAAAGCGAGAAGGTATTGGTTTTACTCTGATGTGGGCTTTTTTTTTATTTGTATACACTGTAACTTTTTTAATACTGGACCAATTCCTTCGAATAGCAACTCTATAAATCACAAATTTTATCTAGTTGGTACTTTGGGGAGGTAAAAGTTGAAAAAGTTTGCTTCTTCACAGACGAAATTTGAAAAAAACAAAAAAAAACCTTAAAAGTTTTTAAGTTACAGTGTATACAGATAAAAAAAAAGCCCACACGATATCACGATATGTTATTCCTTTAAAATTAGGTCAATTGTATTACAATTTTAAAACATATTATTTCTTGGTGCTCACATGCATAGCTTTTGTAGGTAGTCTAGGCGGTACCGTGTTTTTTTGTTTCTTTATTTGTTCTTGACAATTGAATACACAGTTTGGTATAATATACATATTTAAAAACACCTTTACATACGTAGACTAGTGTAAAATATGATGTCAACTTGTATGTTACGATAAACCACAATAGATTTACAAGACAAACATGACTAAACTTTTTGTAGACAATATCAATATTATATTACTATCGAAAATTATAGGCTTAACATGTATAGACTTTGTAGAGATTTTTGTAATATTACAATTAGTATAAATGATTTATATATAATATTATTTTGTGTGTAACATTTTGTATAGCACATATTACATGGTGAATATAGTTTTATCCGAGATGACTAGTACAGTAGAGTATAGGCATAATGTAATCATAGCAATGAGGAAACGGAGAGGTCACAGGTCCACAGGAATTATTATAAATAAAAGTGATAAAATTGAATAAAATCACTTTCAAATAAATGGTTTGATGCTCATTTGTAAATACAGAACCTTCATTTAAAACTTTCTAACTTTGCTGGTTTATACTGTGCTTGGTTTGGACTGCACTGGCTTGAAAATACTAACAACCGATTTGCATCGAAGCGTTTTTTCGAAAGTGATTTTATCACTTTCAGATTTAAAAATTCCTGTAAACCTGTGACCTCCCCGTTCCCACTATGCCCCGACTCAACTATGCTCCGTCCCCACTATACCCCGACCCCACTGTACTGGTTTTTTTATATTAAATAAACAGCGACTATCGGTTATCGATTATCGCATTTTTTCTAGCAGTGATTTAATTTTTTTTTTAATCTCCTGTCCAATTATATTTTTATCTTATTGAATTTTATTTTCTACTTTTTTTACAATTTGTAATTCGAGTGATCGAATTAGGCTAAGTACCAAAATTTGCATAAATATAAATTAAATTAAGTTTCATAACGATTGTTAAGGAGATCTTGTGTTTTTTCAATTGATGTAACATCATCCTTGTTTAGGCACAAAATAATATCTTTTAAAATTTCAGAATGTTCATAAAAATAGACGGCTAAGATACAGGCTGAGGAGGTAAAGGTATATTAGAGGCCTTTTCTCAAAAATATTGAGCTCGTGAAGGAAAAAAATTATTTTAACACCTTTTCCATTTTTCATCGTGTGGTGCTGCAACACTTAAAAACAACAAAATGATGTTATTTTTTTTCCTCAGTTATCACCACTCGATAATGAAACAAAATATCTTGGTTTAATACTGGACATACGTCTAAACTGGGGACATCACCTCAAACAAAAAATTAAATATTAGATTGCATCTTTTCTGCTTGATGCTTAAATCCAACGTGCCACTCAAGACTAATTGATTGGGGAGACTTTGAAAAAAAATTGTGTTACGTGACTTGACAAGGGAACTTCACCCCATTGGACCCCTGTCTATTTTATTTTATCTATACTGTAAAAAATAAATGTTCAAAAACTAGAAACTAAACATATGCATGGGTATTTTAGAAAACGTACAAGTTTTCTAACCAATTAAGTATATTAAAAATGAAACATTACAGTGCAAATGTTGTAAGCAAACCGCTAATTAACAAAAAAAATTTTAAAAAAAAAATCTATATTAATTTATAGGCTAAATCAATTTTTCTGTTTTTTGATTGAGAAAAAAAATCAATTACATTGTCAATGAATGTTGGATCACTTGCCAATTCGCTCAACATTATTTTCTCAATAGCCATAGTACAGACATTTATAAATCGATCGTTGTTCATTGTATTTCTTAGGAAAGTCTTGATTACTTTTAAAGTACTCATACTTCTTTCACTAGAAGCCGACGTTACGGGAATACACAATACAAATTGTAACAATTTTGTAAGTTCCACGTACACTTCTTGTAACTGAGCTAAAATGTAAAATAGCACAAACATGATTAAATAATTTGGTATAAATCTAGTTTACCGGGCACCCTTAATAATTAAATATACATTTAAAAAAAAAAAAGTGATCAACTAAATATAATATATTATGTTCCTACCTTTAATAATAAAATCCAGCAAATCCTTAGGCGGAAGATATTTGTCGTTGTTATTGTAAATAATTATTAATTAATTTTGTAATCTCTCTTGTTCGAATACATACTCCAGGGAAAACTTTTAATAGTTGATCTAGTTCCTCCATCAGAATATCTTTTTTTGTAATTCTTAAACTCGTTGTTATTTGTGGGTTCAATTAATTTCAAAATGTGAAAACCTTTCCAATACACTTTCATTATCTATAATGTCACGATAATTATTATGGCTACTCCTATTACTCATATTATTGTGAGTCCTTTACATATTATAGTTATTATTCTAATTGTGTTAATACTAAATGTTTATTTCAAAAAAATAATAACTATCTCGTTATCGTTTACGCGAAAAGATAACTGCAATTTACTTAAATTGGTTTACCATCTTAGATTGTTAAAAAATCCATGCCTAAAAGACTATAAGATTATATTATATTACCTTTCAAATTTTTCACCACTGCACATTCTATTTCGAACGGCACATTAACAAAAATACACTATAATATTTGTTTTTCCTACAAAATGTAGTTGCGAACCATTTGCTGTGTATAACTTTGTTCGCCTAAATAAAGTAATATATTGATTTTTTGTACGTACAGATTCATTAATAACGCTTACGCTTACTCCTGAGTCAATAGTAGACTTATAACCTATGTTATTTAAAATACCTCTAATTACTAGGTTATTATATTATATTACTTACACTATTTTTGCTATTCATAACACAGCTACTTTTATTTTCTAATAACAGGGGTGGTCTTTGACTATTGTCATTAGACCTGCCATTATAATTACTACCATTAGGATTTATACTATTATACCCTTGTTGATTGTATAGATTTTTTTAGTAATATTACGATCATCATCATAACTATTAATGTTATAACTACCATTATTATGCCTGTTTATGCCGTTATTCAAACTATCCTTAAAATCATTGTTGTTTCTCTGCACTAATTGAATATGATTTATTCCATAGGCCAATTGAGTTAAAGCAGACTTTTTTTTCCCTTCCAGTGTTTTTTATTTTAGCGTGTTTTTACGGGTTACTCTATTAAACGCTTTTTTTAATTCATCTTTGATATTATTCTAGCCATGCTTCAAACTAGAAACAAATACGTACGACAGAAGAAAACGAAGAACTACCGAAATTATACAACATACCAAGCATTCTAGCTTTTATCAGGAATAAACGACTAGAGTGGTTTGGACAAACTTGGAGAGCGGATGACCAATTAATAAAAAAAGTACTCGTAGAAAAAATGAACAGAAAAAGACCCCTTGGAAGACCCAGGACCCGGTGGATCGATGTAATTGCCAAAGACCTAAAAGCTATAGACCAGAATGTGACATATGAGACGACTTATAATAGAGAGAGATGGAGAGACATGTTGAAGGCAGCAATGGTCCTTAATGGACAGGTAAGCTGAGAAGAAGAAGAAAAAGAAGGACAGAATCGCTAAATACTTTCTCAGCATAAATGTTAAAGACATTGGGTGCCGTGTTGTCGAAATGGTTGAAAACCACTGATCAATATCATCTTCTTCTGTTGAATTTTCCTTCTCTAATTTACTTTCACTGTCTGACAATTGATTTAGCACCCGGGTAATATCTATATCATTATCTCTGCATATAAAATTATAAAATAAAACTTGATGTACGAAAAAATAACAAAGTTGATAATAGAAAACGATTTTACGTGTATCGGTAACTTTACGATTTTTTCACGTATACATGTTTACGTTTGATAGTAACAATACGTAAAAGTTACGTGATGTTTTCAAAGATAAATTTGTGCACGAAATGAAATGATAGATATAAAAAATGATTATCTAATATTGATGTCAACTAACTAGAAACAGCATATCAAGAATTTCAATTTATTATAAACCATACATACAGTGTTACTACTTATTGAATATAGAATGTACGTAATAATTACGTACATTTCTATTCTAGGATTAAATTTCAATTGTTGTTTACTTTAAGATAGACTATATTGTAAGAAAAAAAATTGGGAGGGCTATATTACTGTTTTTGGTGGGGGGGGGGAAGCCCCTTAGTGGCGTCAACGGATTAAATCAATGCGTCAAATTAATAGTATTAATGATTTTGCAAAATTGGTTAATTTTTTTATTGTTTTTAAATAGAATGTCATTGTATAGTTAATTAAATAATATTTTATTTTAGTTAAGGCCCTTGCTTACCACATCCGTGTTTAAAATATTGGGTTCAATGTTTGCAATTTTACATATATATATTTTTTTATAGTTCTTAAAATGCATTGTAGTATTTTATAGTAATTTCATTATTGCTTTACGAGTTTAATTACTCTTTGCTAGATAGAAATTGAAAACAATTTGTTCAATCTATAAAAGTGTGTTCTTTGTAAAAATAATAATAACATATAATTTGTAAACAAATCCTTTTAAAATATAGACTAACTATAGATATCATCGTTATGCATAGCTATTATAGCTACTGATATTTATTTTTAAGAGACAAGAATGACAATTTCAATATAATTTTACAACCATACGTTTTCTATATAGTATAGATTATTTTTGTTTCTCTTTGTCTTTCACCCAGTTATTGACTTCTTTAATGGTAATTTCTGCCTTATTTGCTACAGCGTTGAAAAATTTTGCTGCTTCGGCGAACGACAGTATTGTCGGTGTTAAGTCTGTACTCGTAAGTCTACTTGGAAAAAAATGGTTATATTAAAACATGATTTGAGAGCCACGACTACCCGACACGACCGACATACCTTTCGGCTTCTTCCATTTTTTTAGTCGGCGTGAAACGTAATGACACCAAAGAATCTGCTGGAGATATTTTACAATCATTTAACTCCTTTGTGTCATCCATTTCTGACAAATCTGTTATCGATTCTTCGGGTTGTTCGGTCGACATAAAGTCGATGTCCCAATGACTTCTTTTGACTTGTCTAAAGTATTTCAAGACTGGACCTTGATCGTTGCCTGCACACTGTCTGGGTGGAGGCGCTTCATTTTTCTTACACTGGTTGTCCATCCAATTCACTTGAGAGAATTTAAAAATGATGTGAATTGTTCGATAAAAATCAGCAAAAATACAACCCACAATTTTCACTGGCGCACTGCAATTTCTTGTATATTCCCTCCAATAATTCTGGATTAGCTATCAAGCGGAAATTTCCTGGATACAATTTGTCAAACGATCTCAGAATGTCTTCGTCGATCTCCAATTGCGTTTTCTCGTGTTCGTGAACCATCCTGCAGTAAGTATACATTTTATTACCTTTCCCGCAATAAGTGGTTAGTCTTCAGTGGATTTAAAGTCCCCGAGGCCACAATCATACTCCAGAGTTCGGCAAAATAAAACACTTTAATTAAAAACATAAATAATTGGAACTTTTGGGGGGTACTTTGGGAAGTATTGGAGAAAGAAGAAAAGACAACAGATTAAGAGATTATTTACATTTGTAAATAATTTCATACAATTCTATTTGCCATTGTTTAATAAAACATGTTTTAGTTCATGTATTTTTCTAATAAAATTAAACGTTGTTTACCAATCGATACATAATTCTGTGCCGGGTATACTTTCGCCCGTCAACAGACTTTTGTCGTTCCATTTGAATACGTTTGTGCCTAAGTCGATGCTCTCCGGGAACAAGACGTTGATTATTTTGCACGCTTCATTCGCGTCTTTCAGAGCACTAAAAAATATATGGTTTAATTGTTTTTTTTACAACTAGATAACGGTAAATAATAATATAGAAAAACTGCCTACTGACAATTTGACGTGTTTCGATTCGGCTGTCATGGTTGATATTGTATCGATGTTGTATGCGTTCCTGTAATAATTTTAGGTTCGTTCAACATAAATTTGGACAAAGGATTTTTTAAAATTATTGCTGTTACAACCACAATTAAAATCGAAACTAAGAGAGGGGAGAAATTTTGGAGATTGAATTGATAGGACATGAATAAGAAAAATATTTCTGGAGAAAAAGGCTGGGTTAGAGATAATATATATTATATATTATGATAAGGGAATCGTCTGATTTGAGTTATTAACTTAGTGATTGATGAGCGGAGTTTGGCAACATTTGATTAAATAACAAATAACATCTACAACAAATCAAATGACGTATTAGTTTGAATAAAAAAATAAATATTTTTTTAAAGTACTTTTAGTTTTAATGATATCATCTAACCGACTTAAATTGGCCAAATTCTAAAAGCAAAAATACAATTATTCAAATAAACTATCAACAAATTTATAATGCCAAACTCTTAATAGAGGATGACGAGCTGCTAATACATATTAGTTTTAAGGATAGTGGTTGATACTTGATAGAGACTGGATGGAAAACATATTTTACAATTAAAAAGCATTTTGAGAGTTGTTATTAAAGTGAAACTTCTTGTATCGCGGTAGAGTAAGTTGAAAATTGAAGCATACCATAAAGTGAAACGGTCAGGAAGGGGGGCGCGAAAAATGTCTTATTGGCTGATTCAGTTATCAATAAACTCTTATCAATTGTTCGGGATTATCGATTTACCTTTATGGCCATATCATGTCTATCTCTTCTCCTCCACTCCCAATACCTTAAAAAGGTAATCCGAATACATTGTATGTGATTTTTTAAAAGATGCTCCTACTTTTTAACAATAAATATCCTATTCCTTCAAGTTTCACTTCAAACGCGCGTGGTGATCATGCACTGTTCTTTTTGTTTCTACATACAATATAATATTATCCATTCACACATTTACCCGGACGCGGTCGAGATGGGTTTTCTGAAAATACCGGCCAGGGAACGTTCCCAGTCCAGAGGAGAAGCGTGCATTGGTTTCGGCGGTTTTGTCGACGCATACGAAAAATTCCAATCACTCAAAGGATAGTCAGCTCTGGCATAATAACACTGAATGCCCACCTTGGGAACTACTTGCGATGCCGCGTACTGGCACCTGTCTTCCGACACAGCCGATATGACAGGTGGATTCAACACTACTCCTTTGCAAGAGGGGTCAGCGGATTGAATTATAGTTATAGCTTTGTCCATCAATGTGCAGTCCAGAGGATCGATGACGGCGGGCGGGTACTCGTTGAACGGGCACACCGACTCGGGATGTTGCAAACTCATCACGAGCAGCTTGACATAGGCTCGCTTGGTCTCGTTGTTGGTGTGATTTTTCAGGGCTTTCAACCACGTCGAGTATTTAGACGCCACTGTAAAGAAAAACCGTCTTAGGCTAAGGTAATAAACGATACCAATTTTAGAGAGACGAAATTTTCTCTTTCAAAGGAAACCTGGGACCAAATAGAACCGGGAACACAACAAGAAACTACTAATAACGAAAATAAAAATCAAGTCATGCGGTAGCCGGCCAAAGCGAAAGGAGTGTGGCCGGATTAAACAGCTAGCAGCGGCAAGAGGAGGTGGAAACTACTATTCACCTGATAGTAAGGAGAATAAAGAAAAGAATACATTTAATAAAAAAAAGAGTGATAAGAGATAATAAGGCACATAGGTCAAAACGTTGTAGGTAAAAAATGGGACAGAGAAGTGTTAACAACATTTTGGACTGACTCCCAGCTATAAAACATAATCATGTTAAAAATTTCAAAACGACTATTAAGTATACAAAATCATAAAAGACAATTAACGAAGAAAGACATGTGAAAAAGCACACTCATTCTCCCTCGGAATTTGGAAAAATGCCTTTAAAACAAACATAATGGGATGCGTTGGTAGAAATCGGTAGTTCAATTTACTCAATATTTAAAATAAACGATGAGAAAAATCAATTAATCATGTGTCGTATTTATCATCTAATTAATGTATTTGTATTGAGACAGATGAACAGATTAAATATACTGTACAACTGATCACTAAATTAATATCAATACAATCAGTGTAAGTGAATTAAATGTATCTAATTAAGTTTCTTAACATCCGTATCATACTGATTTTTATGTATAAAATTTGTAAGAATAATTAAATAAGCAGTAAGTAATAAAAACCAAAAATTACAAGTGATTTTTGTATAATTTTACAAGAAAAAAATGAAAGTTATAATTTCAATGTGTTCTAAAAAATGATCATTAATGCCTTTATTTAATATTTCTTTTGAAAATTGTAAAATACATAAAATACAGATAAAACAAATTTACTTAGAGAAGTTGTGTAGGTATGTTGAAAAACTTGTTTTCGGTTAAATTATGTCATTAAAAATTGTGTCTTTACAAAATCACTTCTTGTTAAGTCGGTAAATTTCTACCAATCCCATTAGGTCAATAAAAGTCCTTGAACTACACCTTTCTACTACTCGGTTAAAATGCAAGGGTAATTTATCATCCGCACCTTCGGTGTCGTCCTTCCTGAGGATCATCAATTTGGCCAGTTGGGCGTAAAAGTCAAAATCGTCAATAACAGGAAGGCTGCGTTTACGACTGTCCATTTCAGCTACACTTTTATTGACAGATTGCACCGCTGGGACGGATTTCGGGTTTTTCCCAGATTTCGCTGCCATGTTCTATATATATACAATTATGTACTCAATAGCAATTTTTAAAATTTTATATTAAACACTTCAAAATATTGTTAAATCATAAATTATATTTTCAATTTTGCATGTTGACGCGAAACAGCTACGCACACTTGTGTATTAAAACGAGTTGGTCGTTGCGAGAGTAACGAAAAAACAATTTATTATCTATAACTGTAATACCAGCAAGGAGATTCCCTAAAAATATCTGGATGTACATGCTCTTCACCAACAATGACTGGTTCCACCGATTCTACAAAATCGAAAATATTATAATACTTAATTGGTATACCCATTCAAATATAGAAATGTTGTAGACTATTATGACCTACCTTCAGACGTGGGACTGATTTAAAATGTGTAATGAATTATAATCAGGGTCCTCTACATAATCATCAAAGTCAGAAAAATCTTCATTTTCAGTATTAAAATTTGATATTTTCGCCTTAATTAATTAAATTTAAGAGGTCAAGTTAAAAACAGTAACCTATTAAACATAGTAAATTGTAGTTTATAGTCTTACTTGTAGTGAGATACTCTTCGGACAATGCCGGCAAAGTGTAAGTGTCATCTACCATAAATAAAAAAAAGCCAGTACATTAGGGTTGGGGCATAGTGGGGACGGAGAGGTCTATAAAAACGTACTATCATATCCCAGATAGCAAAAACATAATAATAAAACGTCATTTAAATATTACGACTGTAGTGAGAAATATTACATTAATATTATTTCTTCATATCTTAAAGGCAACATTAATATTTGAGTAATATTATTTGCCCACCGCAATCAAATTTTAATAATATTTCTACCATAATTATAATATTACTCTTGTAATATATCGTTTATAATGTTAAAATAATATAATAACGTTAACATAATAATGTAAAGAAAATATTATATTTACATTATAGCATACTTTTTATAATATTTTAATAACGCTATTTTTGTATACAGAGAATGACCATTTATCTTGTTTTATTTAAAATAATAATTGTTGTAAATTATATTAATTAAATTCACAACAATTGAATGTGTAGACTGCAGTCACTCTATTTAATTTTTTCAAATTATGGATAGATGAATTAATGAATTAACTAGGTTATAGAAAGATTATTATATGAACAAATAATGACAATATAATACATAAAACAAAACAAATCTTCTTTTTATTTTAAATAACAATTTTGTTCAAATACATAATACATGTTAATATAATTTTACATTTTATATTTTACATTTTTTTTTTCCACAAGTCGAGATAGCGCACCAGACAAATGCGTTTTTATAGAACCTGCAATTTTGTCATTAGTGGCTTCTTTGTGGTTTTTCATATTTTTGATAGATTCTGTAAAACAAAGTGCAATAATTATTTTAAAAAAATCAGTTTACTTAAAAAGTATTAAGTAACTTCTATAGGTGTTGACATATAAGTCTTAATGGTATCAGGCATTCAATATTGTACTAGCGCAATAGCTGGTTAGATTCCACTGTCAATTTGTTAACCAACCCTTACATTTGTTTTGTTTTGCAGGACATTTACCCTGTTTAAATTATTGGTAGGTACAAATAATTAAATATTAATACACCGTACCATTACTTTTCAAGCATATTAGTACACATTTTTATTAAAATGTAAGCAAATAATAAATGTTGGACATTATTTATTATACTATTAAAAATAGTATATAATCATAGTGCATGTTGCTAAACTGCTAAACACTTTTTTTCCTTTTTGGCCAACACAACTATAATTTTTCAGTAGTTCATCTTAAAAAACCTGCCTTAATACTTCTCGAACTGTTAAAGTTAACTGTTTTTTTCGAAAAGCGTTTGATTTCAGCTATCTAAAATTTAAAAAAAAAAATGAATAAATAAACATAATTTTAAAAGCAATACATCTAAAAAAATAATTAAAAAAACATTAAGGTACAATATTATGTTATTAAACTATATATTACGATTAACTTACAACACTTGATCTGAATGTCCTTTCACTTAGTTTTCTTTCAAATTCAAACTATTAATATTAATTAATTAAATAAATAATATTTAATTAATATTATTTATTAACCTAACCTAACCGAAGGACGCGTCTCTTCGGTTGTTTTCGCCGAAGGTTTCGGTTCTCCGGTAGTTTTCGCCGGAAGTCACGCGCGTTCGCTTCTAACCGTACATTTCCTCGGGGAACGTCTCTCTCTCCGGACAATTCTTTCTGGAGGTCGGTTACTTCCCGACGAAGACCCGCAATCGCCGCGTTTTGTCCGGTGATTATGACATTTTGTCCACGTATACATTTGTCCATCGTCCCCATACGCGTGAACAGCTCTGTAAATCACCTCATATACGCTGGTTAGCTTGTCCCCAAACGTACTAATCTCCTCTCCTCCCCGATTACTCTGGTTATCGGAGTCCGACTGTTACTTTTGCTGTCACTTAAAATGCACTTACATGTTGCCGGTGGCCAATTTTTCAATTTTAAAATGACCACTGGCTCCACGTGAAGCCGGCGGCCTGTGTAGTCATAACACTCATAACAAACTGGCTATCCAGGGAGCCGGTGGTGGCGAACGTGTTAAGCTCGATACTGTTTCTGTAAATTATTAAATTATTATTATTATTATTATTCAATAGGCAACAATTTTAAAATTTTAAAATGCTTATTTTATTATATATACACAAAAAATACGCAATATGCAGTTGCATATGCAAAAACATATTTTTATGCAAAATATGCTCAAATAAATAGTGTCTGTATGGTATAAAAATGTCTGAAACGGATTTTGGTAAGGAAAATTCTTTGATAGGAGGACCCATAAATTACATACAATTGCATAATATGTACATGATGTAGTATGATGCATAAATCCGCGGTCTAGTTATTATAATAGGAAAGAAATTAATCTAATAGTTGTGTAATATTCCATAGATAAAATACTGTACAATTGATAGTGGTAAACTAATACTAAAAAAAACGCATGATTATTTTTACCAAGTCCAGGGGCGACTTCATGTAACTAAAAAAAATAAGTGTTATTTTATTATTTATACTCCACAATGGACATCGTCCAAGAAATTTATTACGACCACGATCCACGATTTTGGATGTCTAATATGGTGGAAAAATTAAAATTGTAAGTAATATTATACTGTATGTAGTATGTACAAATTATAATATACATAGGTTATAATAAATTCCTTTTTTTTTTTTAGTTTTTACTTGAATTTTCTTCCTTACGGAAATCGTAGACCCCGTATATAAACACCGTTTAATAGTGTCAGATATTAGAGAACCTGCAAAAAAGACAGAAGATAAAAAAGCGAAAAAGAAATTATTTGAAATTATTATATATGTCCAGCACTTAAAGTTTATAGCGCATACTCGTACCATTATACAATTATTATTCGATTGATGAATTATTATAAATATATTTTCAATTATTAATTTTGGATTTATAAATTAATAATCTTTTCAGAAAGCATAAAATACTGATTTTTAATAATTTTGTTTGATGGCCAATAATTTCTTGTTGAACTCAATTGAGGTGTATACTTTTTAAGATTTTCAATAAAAAAATTGTTTTCTTATAATGTAGAATTTCCCTCATCCATCTTTTTAGATTATTAAAATTGCCACCTTTACTGTTCGCTATTTTTAGCCCTCCCATCCATTTAATAAATAAAACTATCAACATTACAAATATTGATGGTCACAACCGTTTTATTGTACATTGAACATATACGATTTCAAGAGGTATTTTTTTGGTTTAAATGTTATTGTTGTTGGTTTCCTTGTTGGTTTGTCCGCTGTTGGCATGTTCATTTGACCGGTGTTGTTCGGAATTGTTTTGTTGTGTCTCGGTGTTGATCTTGTTGTCAGACTGCTGATTTTTGCTTTCCGTTTCGTTTTTCTTTGCATGCTTTTCGTCCTTCTTGTTAGCTCTTGTAGTAGAAGTCGATTCACCGAAATTGACCATAACGCAATCTTGGTCGTCCGTTTTTGAACGCTTGCGTTGATTTTTCTTACTGGACGTCGATCTACGTTTTCTGCCTCTCGATCTATTACTTCTAGATCTTCTTGTCGTCCTAGCACGTCTTTGACTAGAAGATCTGGATCTACTTTTTTTGGAGGTGGATTTTGAACGACGGCTTTTACTAGCCGACACTGACTTTTTATAGGTCGTCTTCATACGTCGACCACTTCTAGACGATCTACCCTGACATTTACTGGACGTGGCACGGCGACTTATACCTTTAGATCTTGACAGCGATCGTCGGCCGGTAGACCTACAACCACTGCGACTTCTTCTAGAAGCTTTAGATCTAAATCTTCTGCGCATACATTGTCTGTTATTTAATCTGCCTCTTGGTCTTGAACAAGTATGTATCAGATCGGACCACATTTCTTCGTTAGACTCTACTCTCATTGCCGATGTCTCCGAACGCTTGCCAGCCCCATGAGCTAAGCTATTGAGCTTGCGATTGACCATAGATACTTCTTATTCGACTAAATTTCTTTAAAAACTTAATTTTTTTAATTCTTTAGTTGAAATAAACAAAGTATAATATTGATATTCGATATAAACAAGTATTTATGGCCAGTTATAATAGTTAAATAGTTTTTAATATCATTTATTAATTTAATAGTAACACATCATAGGGAATTTTTAAGCTTAAATGACGAATCAAAACCATTAAATATAAATGAAAATGTCTGATATGGGTGGTGGATTCTTCGCGTTATTGTAAAATAATAACAACTATTCTTCAGTATCGCGGTTGGTATTTTATTTAACGGAAGTGTTTTTTAGTACGTGAAATAAAATACAAAATAAAAGTCGCCAGAGGTTGACTTGAATAAGCTCAAGGGGAAGGGACTTATAAATTCATACAAAAAGGTTCCTTATTATGATGGGAGTGAACACTGTACAATGAGCATTGGGGATTTTGGGAGACTTGTTGATGAATAGGGTAGCTTGAATATGCGCCTAGACATATATGTTGGCGGGATAGTATTATGATGTAATTCTTTCAATAAAACACTCCAAAATACTTTTACTTCCAGATGCTGCAAACATATTTAAAATATAATTTATAATAGACGAGGCAGATTTATTGCAGAAAGATGAATGTTGAGTGGATATAGACAAAATAAGAATTAACACATTATTGCTCAAATAATGAGCTATGGGTAATTGATTTATTTGAATCCCAAAAAAGTGCCTTCATCTCTTACTGTTAATAGACCATCGTCGACAAACATGCTTTTAATTTCTGTAATAAATACACAAGGATCTGCGTTTAAAATTATACTTAAGCACTTAATAAATTCCGCTGATGTTAATTGTACTGGGCAAATGTGGAATTAACCAAACTTTCCTTCAAAAAACAGGTTAGAAAAACATTTGACATCAATCCTACCTTCGCAACTGTCCAATAGTGTAGCGTTTACTTTCAATGTTTGATGCAAGGCACTGATTAGCACGCTCTGTCGTTTCTCATGTAATGGAAGTATGAATAGAATGAATATTCATCGCTCGTATATTGTTCTTCCTCTTCAGAAATTTGGGTTAATAATGCCTCCCTGACGCGTCTACTACATTTTTTTCAATCGTAATACTGTTATCTACAACTTCATGCAAGATGAACTGAATATCATCGTTTATATTAGCTAACAGGTCATCTAGATTGTAATGAAGAATAATATAGCGTAATAGACATCATTTGATTTCGAATATACGAGTGCTCTGTATACCGGGTGATTCTCTACGGGACACTCGATATCTTAGAATATATATATTTTTTTATTCTATTATAGTTATTAGTTGAGACAAATTTTATATATTTTTCAAAATTATAACACCATACGCTATGCGTTAATACCATATCAACTTTAGACTTTTCAATGACAGCCCCCAATTTTTTTTTTTGGTTATTGTGTTTATTTTTTAAAATTTTAATTTTAGACGAAAAAACTAGCTAAATTTGAGAAGTTTTTTAAAAGTTACCAAACCATGGCTATAAAGGAAATTTAATCTAGTTTTTAAATATTACCATTTCTTTTGCATAAATTAGTGTTTTATTTTCATTTTTCGTAAAATGAGATTAAATAGAGTCTTTAAAGTGGAGGCCCAAGAACAGGGAGCTGTGTAATAAATTGAATGTTAAGAGTTATATAAGGCAAACATTTTAAGTAGACTATTTTGAAAACAGGTTTTAAACATAGAAAAATTGCAAGGAACCTTAAAACTCATGAATTTGACCTTACTAATCCAATTCTGTGTGTGAGCAACATGAATCTGATATTCATTTTGTTTAAAAAGTAATTGACTAAATTTCAGCCAAATTTCTTTAATTTGTATTAAAATTTCCCAAATTTCGGCAGGGATGACAGTTTTTTTTTTAATTCTTTCAGATTTTTTTATAAATAGTGGATACTTCCTCATATTTTGCTTGTTTCACGAAAAAATTCAGTATAAGTAAGAAATAACGTGTTTTGTGAGATTTTGTTAGTTTTGGCGAACTTAAAATAATAATTGTTAAACAAAATTAAATTTTGAAAACGAAATTTAACTTCAAAATTGTTGTAGTTGTAATAATTATTACAGCTGATAAGCAACCGAATTGACGTTGAAAACAATGCGAGATAACATAAATTTGTTCGACCATGTCTTAGAACCGTCATATATAAAGAATTATGAACAACTTTTCAACGGGAGCTATGCTGTTTCTGGGTTTCCCAACTATCAAAAAAAAAACAACTAGCTAAAAATGGAGAACAATTCTGAGAATGACTTATGTCCGCCTAAATCTGCTATTTTGCCCACTGTGCGTCGTCTGATGGGTACTAGAAGAATTAGCCATTTGTGCTAGGTGTATGTTCGTGGTTACTTTGTTAACTGATTTTTACCGCTGACCCTCAAAAACAATACTATTGAGAACGAATTTACGTGCAACCTTGCCATAGCGTTTATTTAGCTATCGAACTATTCAGCACATTGTATGTTAATAAAATATTCATAAGTTATAATGATTATACCAACATTTAATAATTATGAATCTGCATGTTGTATTTTTTTGGTCATAAATTATCACTGGTTTGCAAAAAAAATTTTTTTTTCTCCTTATTATTCTCATGCATGATAACATATTTGGTGCTCTAAACACGGAATTTAACATACAAATAAATACAGCACATATATTTTGAATATCATGTCTATTTAATCAAAAAACAATATCATCAAAGTAACAACAAATATAAAAAAGTGAAAAAAGACTACGGTCTAAGTTTTACAGTGAAAAATGCTAATTTTACAGTCACAAGTTATAGAAATATCAGTATATTTCTCTCATTATGGTAATATAATTCAAATTATTTTGTAGTTTTTTTCCTTTTCATCGTTTCCATCGAAGTTTCTCGGCGAATCGACCAACAAAAATCAGCAAGCATTGCGGCTGACCATTTTCCATTGTAGCGTCTTTCAATATGTATAATATCCTGATGAAACCTTTCACCATGCTCATCTAATACGGCACCAAGATTTTCCGGAAAGAAATCTACATGAGAGTCCAAAAAAATGAACTTTGAGTGACATATTGCACCTTAAAGCTTTATAAGCAGAAAGAAGCTCTCGAATGATTTGTCGGTAGTTATCAGCTTTTGTACTACGAAAATTCATATCGAAAAATCTAGACGTGATAGAAAAAATCGACAACCGGGAACAGATTCAGAGCATCAAAATCTTCATATTTATGACATCATTTTTTGAAGGAGGATTTTGTTGCAGACCAGTGAAATTAACGTATATAAATAAAATGCGTAATAAAAATAAACATATCATAATCTTAAGTTTAGTTGTAATAATATAAGAAAAAATGAGACACTGAGTAAAAGCATTTGCCTTAAAATCATAAAAAAGTATTTGTAAAAAAAGTTCATACAAATAGTTTTTGTTCTATATACCTGGATATCGTAAGCCAACATACTTCAAATATTTTAATAAATTACCCGAATTCGTATTTTCTACATCACTTATATTATGTATTATGAATGTCTAAAAATGCATCTTCGACTTTCTTATGATTTAAAAACTGAAGACCAAAAAACATTTTAAGCCACTTTCCTAGGTAATCAGACTTTGTATATGCGTTTCGAAGTTTATTTTCGCTATTTAACTAAACAAATTAAATGTGTTAACTAAATTATAATATGTACCTATATTTTATCGTAATAATTTTTTAAGTTTTTTACTTTTTTGTATATTATTTTGATGTATATCTTTTTACCAAAAAACAAAACTTAAACTACCATATTGTACAGGATTCATTCTTTCAGAAACGCAATATAGGGGAGAGGCTTCGGTTGTGCTTATGAAACCTTTAACTGTATGTATATTTAATAGTTTATTTATTATCGGTAAGGACGATGTGTCGGCTGAGTGGTAAATGTGTGATGCGTCAGTGTAACAGTTAGTTGACTAATAACAGTTTGTTTATTTACATTATTAGTGGTTTTTAAGTTTTATTTATAAGATATATTTTTTAAAGTGATTATCTAGAAAAAAAAGTTTTCAAAAAGGGAAAAAATTAATTTAAAAAATTAAATTTACTACTAACGTCCATACTTCATTGTCGCGTGGGTCTATCAGACCCCATTTCTAAAAATTCGTAAAATATGGATAGAAAGTTCATTTTTTTTTAATTCAAAGACAGTAGTTTATCATATGATACATAAATATGGATAAAAATTGAATAATAAAAAAATAAAATACAAAACTATGTGCGTTACTAAAAATTGTGTTACGAAAAACAACATAAACTTCAAAATTTCATTAAAAAAATGTTGGTTTGTAAAAAATAATATTTTAACTTAAAAATCTTATTTTTAAGACAATAAACAAAATTACATAAATGTGAGAGTATTCACATTTATACAACCCCTTTTCTTAGTTTAGTTTTATTATTATATATAAATCCTTACATACTGTTTCAATATATTTGTGGCACATAATTATTTTACATGTTGGATATGAATTTGTTGCTTTTATATCCTTGTTTCTTAGACAAACTGCACATCTTATTCGTTTTCCTAAAACTGAACCGTTCAGGAAGTTTTTCTTCACCAACTAAATGAGACGCCTTTTGTCTGAGAGATCTGGGAAGATATTTTTAAACCGCTCGTTTTTTTAGTTGAACCTGTAGTAATGATAAGCCCACTTCTTCTAAACATTTTCTTTGAATTAGTTTATTGTTTCTGGTATTACGAGCTATACCAGCTCTTTAGCAAAGATATTTAGGTTTAATATACTGTAATGGATTACTGAATCCAGCCAAGTTTACGACATAACCGATTTCTCCTTGAATATTAATAATGTGCACGACCTAAATGAGTTATTCTATACTTTGTATGTAACCAAAAGGTAAAAAACGTCATAAATTGTAAAATCCAATTATAAATTGTAAAAACCAATTTATTTATGCAACTATAAGA